TCGCAAGTCATTTCCGACAACAGCCTGCGGGCTTAGTGATTCATGGCAGGATTGTCTGCGCAGATGACTGTGAGTGCTGTGAAATTCAATGGAATGATGCGGTGATGGGGTTAGCATTGTCAATAATTAGGAGGAAGTGAAGGCGGACCGTGAGGTCGGTCGAGTAAAGGCAGCCGCGGCATTGCACGTGTTTTCTTTGTTGTGGCGCAGTCGCGATGAGCGCATGGATTGCTGCCATCGCATGAACTTCACATGACAGCTGCTCATGAGACTCACCCGACGACCGAACCAACATGACAAGACGGAAGAACCCTCGCGTCTCAAACTCAGGGCCTCATCATACTGCTGCTCCGACACCGACTCGCGCGCAGGGTTCTTCATCCTCCTCCGGTTCGCGCTCACGCAATAGCACAGTGGAGATTTCATCAGGACAGCGCGTGGCGGCACCAAGGAACAATTTTGCCTCGGCGGCCTGACCGAAATGTCAAGATGCATGAGAGGCGTGCAAAAGCCGTTTTACCAATACCGATGGGTATGATTTTCCCCAGGTTGTTGATGAGGTTGACTCGCTTGTTGTTCTGTTTTGGGGCGGCTACTTTAGGCGCCGGAGTTCTGGAGCCGCACAAGTCTTGGGAGGGACCTTGCTTTGACTCCCGTATTGGCAGAAATAGATTGGACGGCTGATTGTGATTTATGGGAGCGGGTGTGGCGGACATGGGATGGTGGTGAAGAGATGGGATGAAGGTTTTGGAGAGTGGACGATAGGACGAATGCGTGTCTGGTGGTGTCTGGGGCGAATGGACAGGTCAGCTGATCAGCTATCAGGCGTAAACTATCAACCATCCCGTCGACAGTCGCACAGCACGGGACTCGGCATCGTTCTGGACTCAGGTCCCACCGTCAGGCACTCGGCCATTCCCGTTGGCGGTGGACAGACGGTGAGCTGAGGCTTGGTTTCATGGCGCATCCAGGCACGCCAATGTGAGTGGCCGGCTTCCTTCGTGTCGTTTCAGCGCCTAGACTGTCCGGGCGCAACGGAGCCAATCATCCGCCTGTTCCGATTCCCAACCCCTGCCAGGCCCTCACCAACCCTCCCATGTTGCGAACTTCATATCCACTGTTTCCCTCGCTCCCCCTCTGACCTCACGCTCGCCGTCCCTTGTCGTGTCGTTTCCATACCTTCGTTTCTTGTCCAACTGTTGCTCACTCGCTACGGCAACATAGGACACCCCAATACATTCGCTTCTCACGCTGTCTTCGAGCCGGTTTCTAGTCCCCTATTTCCCGTCTCCAGCCCCTAGTGAAGACAAAGTCTATTGACGTCGCTTTCAATTTCCTCGGCCCTATTCGCCTTCACCGTCGCTACTATCGCTATCGATACTGCACATCGCAATCGCCGCCTCACGCTTCTGTCGACTAATTCCACCGGACTGGACCGCGTCTCGTCTTCAACACCACCACCCCATTCACCACCTCGACGTGCAGCGCACTGTCGGTTCTCTCAATCTTTGTGCCTACACACCGGCTCCTTCACGACACATTGTGATGTATTCACGGTGACCACGACCCAACCTCGCCCCACACTGTCAACATCTGCCGCTTCGTTAAGCGCGCGTGGGATATAGGTCCATTGACAACGACGTCGCGCCATTACTCCTGCTTCAAGACCCTACCGTCACCGAAAACAGCACCTGGTAGTGCGCAACACAATTCACCGATCGCGTCGCATCACACAGCCTCGCACACCCGAGAACCTGCAGCTAGCAACCCTCGTGAGCACCGACTCGCGAGCGACCTGTACTACTCAACAACCGAACACAATACCCGAGACATGTCTCTCACAAGATATCTCCTCCGCCTCCGTGGCGCCCAACCGACCGCGCCAATGACCAAGCGCCACTTCCTCTCAGACTGGGACGCCGCTGAATTCGATGATCTCAAATACTCGTACGGTCTGGAGGGTGTCGACCAAGTCGGCAACTACATGTGGGTCGACACCTTCCTATACCTGCTAATAGGTATCTCCGGCATCCTCCTTCTCCTGCGGATATCAAACATGTGGTGGAAACACAGCCGTCATCTGAGCGCCATGGGAAACCCAAAGCAAAAGTACTGGGAAGTCAACCGGACAGGCTGGTGGCCTTGGCTCAACCGCCATGTCCTGATGGCACCCCTATGGAAGAAGAAGCACAACGCTCAGTTTCAGATCAGCAGTGCCATCGACAACGGAACGCTGCCTGGCAGATGGCACACCATCATGTTGGTCATCTACGTAGCACTGAACGTCGCCTGGTGTGTGGCCCTCCCCTACAAGGTCCTCGACCACAAGGAGACCCTCGCCGCGCTCCGTGGACGCTCAGGAACACTCGCTGCTCTCAACCTCATCCCCACCGTCCTCTTCGCCCTCCGCAACAACCCGCTCATCACCCTTCTCCAAGTCTCGTACGATGACTTCAACCTGTTCCATCGCTGGGCTGCGCGAATCACCATTGCGGAGGCCATCGTTCACACTGCTGCCTGGTTGTACAACACCAAGCTCGCAGCAGGATGGCCTGCCGTTACAGCTGCTCTCCACACTGAGGGCTCATACGGCTGGGGTATGGTCGGAACCGTTGCCTTTACCTTCCTTGGTATCCAGGCATGGTCGCCATTCCGCCACGCTTTCTACGAGACCTTTCTCAACATCCACCGTGTCTGCGTCATCGCTGCGCTTCTCGGTCTCTACAAGCATCTGGAGCTGCACAGTCTCCCGCAAGTTCCCTGGATGCACCTGGTCTTCTTCTTCTGGGCTGCCGAGTGGGCCTGCCGATGGGCCTCAATCCTCTACTACGGCATCGGCCTCAGGCAAAGATCATCAATTACCGTCGAGGCCATGCCCGGAGAGGCCGTTCGCCTGACCATCAACATGGTCCGCGAATGGACTCCTCGCCCAGGATGCCACGTGCACATGTGGATGCCAGCGCTCTCCCTCTGGTCTTCGCATCCCTTCTCTGTCGCGTGGGCTGCAACACTCACCCCAGACTCCAAGGAGATGACACTGCCCATGCTCGAAGGCGATGTCCTTGCGATGCATGGCCGTCCCCAAAAGTCAAAGCAAATCAGCTTGGTCTGCCGTGCGCGTACTGGACTTACCCGTCACATGTACGAGAAGGCCTGCAAGAGCCCCAACGAGCAATTCACCACCTTCGGCTTCATCGAGGGTCCATATGGCGGCCACCACAGCCTCGACTCCTACGGAACCGCAGTTCTCTTTGCTGGCGGTGTAGGTATCACTCACCAAGTCATGTACCTGAAGCACCTCGTCAATGGCTACAACAACGGAACCACCGCAACACAAAGAATAGTCCTTATCTGGACAGTCCCCACATCCGACTGCCTGGAGTGGGTACGGCCCTGGATGGACGAGGTCCTCCGCATGAAGGGTCGCAAGCAATGTCTCCGCATCAAGCTTTTCATCTCAAGACCCAAGGGTCGCGTTGAGAGCAGCAGTGAGACAGTCAAGATGTACAGTGGTCGTCCGCAACACGCGGCCTTGATCGAAGAAGAAGTCAAGAACCGTGTCGGTGCTATGGCTGTCACAGTGTGCGCGTCGGGCGGTATGGCGGATGGCGTAAGACATGCGGTTCGACCGTTCCTTACGCAAGGTAGCGTTGATTTCATTGAGGAGGCCTTCACATACTAAGAGGCCTTTGTCAATGTACGATACTGTTGGCAACGTTACGCTTAACAAATTCCTTGTTCATCGCCTACTATCGCACCGCATCGTGCACGACGCTTATGCTCGACCACCTTGGGCAAACCACACCCGGGTTCATTGTACATCATCTCTCTCGTCTACTACCCAGTCGAGAACTCACATAACTATACCAAAACATTACCTTTCTTATTATCCGCATTGTTCACTTCTTTGTAAATACCTCCTACTTAATGCTTTACTTCTTGTCCAATATGTCACCGTCTCATACTTGTCATGTCTCTCCTTGAATCTCTGATCGGCGTTTTATGAGCGATGCATTTGTTAGCGTATCTGGGTCTTTGTAGATATTCAGCGTAGCTTTGTGTATAACAGTAGCATATCCTCTACCAAAAGTTCGTCTATTCTCCTTATTTTCTTCATCTGCTCGCGCACTGCAACTACTGGTCTTCTTGGTGTTTACTGATCGGGAACAAGGGTAGATCTCTAAGCCTCAGGTGTTGATCAGGGTACTGATCCAGACCTTCACTCATCACCTCTAAGCCCACTCAAGTCGTCACTCCCCCCACTTCCTTTGTTCGGACGTCCACGTAATCGCGGTCCTACGCTCTCGATGTGTGGCTTAGTCGGCCAGGGGGCACACCGCCGACCTATCCGTGCACGCCAATGATTGGCCGACACCACGTGAAGTGGACCCTCGGCCAACTCAATAGACAATGCATCCCCACATTGGCGCCGAAAAGTGGCGGTGACGACAGTGTGGCTGATTCACTGCAGTCGCGACTTGCATCTTATTGTGTCATGGGTGTGTATAAATAAGAAGGTGCTACTTCGGCGGGGATCGTGCTTGTCCAAGTGTGACGTTGTCGAGAACCTTACCTTCAACTTTAAATAACCCTCCCGCTCCCGCTGAATTTCGATCTCCAAGTCAAATCGCGATACACTCAACCTTACCTATTGTAACCTAGTTATCAGAATCTAAGTTTATTCCTTCGTACACAACATCATGTCTGGATACGACGGCTCCGGCTACAACCAAGGCGGATACGGACAACAAGGCGGGTACCAACAACAGGATGGATATGGACAACAGGGCGGCTACGGACAAGACAATTACAATGGCGGCGGTGGACACCAGCAGCCTCATCACCACCAACAACAGCCCCATGGTGCTGCCAGCGCATATTACGGTGGTCAAGGAGGCCCTCAAGCCTACGGTCAACAAGGAGGTTACGACGCAGCGCCTCCTCAATACCAACAACTCCCTTCTGCCGCAGCCCATTCATCCAACTCCGGTCGCAACTCGATGAACCAAGGTCATCAGAACCAATACGGCGGCGAGGGCGACCCAGAAGGTGACCGTGGTGTCATGGGCGGTCTCGCGGGTGCAGCAGCCGGAGGCTACGGTGGCCACGCCCTCGGTGGAAAAGCCGGCCACGGCGTAGCCGGCACGGTAATCGGCGCCCTCGCAGGAGCATTCGCAGGCCACAAAGGCCAAGACGCCGTAGAAGACAAATGGGACGAGCGCAAAGAGAAGAAGAAGCAAGAAGAAGAGGAAGAAAAGCGCAAGAAATACGGCCAGCAACACCAAGGCCCCCCTCCCATCCAACACCACCAAGACACCAACAACCAGCGCTCCCAAGGCGACTTCGGCGGCAACTTCAGCGCCTCCTCGCGCGACATTCGTCTCGATGCCCATGGCGACTACACACTGCACGCCCAGTGCCGCCGCGCAGACGGCTCCTACCAATCCTCCTCCATATCCCTGAACCGCATCCTCGAAAACGACGGCGGTAGTTTCCGCTGGTCGGGCTCCAACTCCAGCGGCGGCGGCGGCGAAAACACGTACACTGTCCAACAAGGCGATACCCTCCGCGCCATTGCATCACGCTTCTCGCACTGCTCCTACGAAGATCTTGCTCGCCACAACAATATTACCAACCCGGATCAGATCTGGCCTGGCCAGAATCTTAAGGTCCCGGGTGGGAATAGCAGTCGTGGGGGTGGTGGGTTTGGGAATTCGGCGAGGGGAATGAGGTTGGCGGATGGGGGGCAGAGGTTGGAGGGCGAGTTGGAGTATCAGGGGCATTGGAGGATGAGGGAGATTAATCTTGATGAGAGGATTAGTAATAGGGATGGTGCGCTGGTTTTTGTTTAGGGAGATAGATGATGGGAGGGGAGGATGGGAGAGAGTGAGAAGGGTATTGGTGTGCTATTCTCACGGATGAACCTTTAGAGTTTCAAACTATCCATTTTTACCTGTCCACACAATTCGCATATCGCTTCAAGAAGTCATGCAGTTCGACCAAAGAGTCTGTCGGAGCGAGCGCCATGTAGCGACTCTGTACATCGCCGGTATGTGCCAGTTCAAGAACTTTACATGTGACCCACCATATCTCTAGTCCATGCTTGACAAAGCCTATTAGTCTTTGTTCCTCTGCTTCACGTTCCGCGTGTAGAGCATCCCACAGCTCTTTCCAGCGCTTCGTCGCACGGAGTAGAGTAGCGTGTACCATCGGAGTCAAAAGAGCGGCTCGAGATATGAATACGATGGAATGTAACGCTGCAGAGATATATCAGCTTGAGGCCACAAAGGCTGAGATGCAGATGGGTAAACCTACCGAATATGCAAATCATGAGAAGTCGATGTTCAAGGACATCGATAAGGGGACTCTTCTGCTCATCAGACCAGTCCTCGCTCATCAACGCAGAAACCAGTTGCTTGATGCTAGGTTTCGGTCTCGCCAGGCGTTTCGACTGTGCACGTAAACGAGCGTAATCTTCCTCTGTAGCCGCATCATAAAGCACATCATTGCACGGAAGCGTCTGCGAGACCTCTGCAATAGCAATCTTGGGAACCGAGCTGAAGAAAAAGGTAGCCATGCAATCCATAGCAAAGATGAAGTTCACAGCTCTCACTCTAGATTCCTCGGCTATGAACGCATTCCACTCCGGTACCTGGTTTTGACATCTCACCGTGACTGTGGGTTCCAGCAACTTGAGCGATCGCATCGCAGCGATGATTTCAGGGTGTCGAGAGATTCCGACTCGGCTACGTGTTGCTTCGTTGTTGAAACTACTCTGGAGAGCTACTATGAGTGATGCGGCTTGGACTGCTTCCAGAGCGCGGGGATCGTGTCTGGGGTTGGGTGTCGCGACTACATTGCGTAGATGCACGAAGATGAAGTCTTCGCTTAGATCGAAGAAGGAGCGGGATGACAAGGCGCCGTCTGTGGGTGTGCAATGTACTGATCCAGCAAAGGCGACAGCGAGTAACAAGGGGAGCGGAACTTTGTGCATATCGAATGTCGGCCAGTGGATGAGTGGCTGTTGGGGGTGAAAGACGCTGAAATAAGCCGAGATACACTCTTCGAAGTTTTCTGCTGTGAAGACTGCTTTTGCGGCAACTACGGGGAAAGCGCCTTCGGGGTTGAAGTGGGCCGTTCGACATGTTTGGCTGTATATGAAGAGCTGAGAACATAGCTCGTCGATCCTAGGCTGGAGAAGCGCGGTCGTCTGGGGTCGTCCCGGTGCTGGTGGTATTGAAGCACAGATGTCTACGTCGACATTCATGAAGAAGTCTGAGAAGATGCCGAAGAGTGTCATGTCCCTGTCGAGAAGCTGATGGTCTGCGTCGTGGGTTTCTTGATGCTTGGACGACTGTACAGTCAATGGATCGTTAATGAAAGCATTGAGTATCGACTCGCGGCGAGGGTCTGTGTAACTATATAGGAATGTGATGGGATAGCGAGGAAGACTCTGGGCGTTTTCCTCTACAGCCGTGGTGTCGCGGCTCAAATGACTGGTACTGGTATCATGAGCATCTTCGCGTAACAGGTGTGCGTGGTTTCCGATCGTTCTGAGCCGGCTTCGTCGTCCTGGCTTGGCAGAGGCTATCTCATCGTGTTCGCCTCGTTTTCGGCATGACTTTGAGTGTCTCCTAAGGACATCGCTAAGCAATGTCAATGTCAAGGTGTCACGAGCTTACCCGACACAGGCGAAAACCTACTGACGGACGAACGTGCGATTACAGAAGCTGCAGGTGTTTAGACGATCGCGGGTATCTGATTGGCGTCAAATAAGCTCCGGATAACACTCGGATGGTCAACTTACGAGCCGACTCGTGTCGTCGCAAGTGACTGTTGCTCGAGAAGAATTTGCCGCACGTGCTACATTTATGGGATGTGATACCCAGGTCCGTCTCGATAGCGTCTGGCATTGACTTGTCCGTGATTGGTGACGCGGCGGCCCATGATGTGGGCTTTCCAGGGCTGAATGTGGGTTTTCAGAATGTGGGCTTTCCGCTGATGTGGGCTTTAACTGCGGCGGCCTTACCGCAAAGGGCCGACCACGTGACACAGCGTCGATGCTCTCCCTATACCGTCGTGTATCAACACTCCTGTTGCAAGAATGAGTTTGTTTCTGTCAGATACTGCCTATCGTCATGTCGAGTATACGAGCGTTCGTAAGCCGAAGAAGCTACTGCGCATTCGGTAATATCTCACTCCTTCCATCTCGAATGAACCAAACTGACAGTGCCCAGCATTTACGTTAAGACCTCACCCCATACATCTTCGACTTAGCCATACAGCATGTCATAGCATGTCTACCAGCTCCCCCAGTCACAAGACCATAGAACGAGACGATCAGCGCAGCGACACACTCCTCCCATCAGCCATCGTCAAACCCAGGGGTGTTGTCGAACACGTCCTGTAAGCCACACTCTCCCAGACATATCCAAACACTTCCTGACAGACTCCAGAACGACCACAGATCAAATACTCAACTGGGTCCGACAAAGCTCCATCCACCCACTGAGCTTCGGCCTCGCCTGCTGCGCCCTAGAAATGATGCATTGCTCCATGCCTCGCTACGACCAAGACCGACTAGGCATCATCTTTCGCGCATCCCCTCGCCAAGCAGATGTAATGATCGTCGCAGGCACAGTCACGAACAAAATGGCTCCTGCTGTTCGGCAGTGCTATGATCAGATGCCTGAGCCGAGGTGGGTGATTAGTATGGGAAGTTGTGCGAATGGTGGCGGGTACTATCATTATAGTTATAGTGTGGTGAGGGGCGTTGATAGAATTGTTCCTGTGGATGTTTATGTGCCGGGGTGTCCTCCGACGGCTGAGGCGTTGTTGTATGGTGTGTTTCAGTTGCAGAAAAAGATTAGACATACGAAGACGACGAGGATGTGGTATCGGAAATAGTTGAGCGTTCGGTAATCGAATACAGAGATTCTCAGAGGAGAATTTGCCCTCCCACCTCTTTCTCTCACTTCGGTGCGCGGCACACCCCGTCGCTCCTGCCTGGTCGTACCTTCCTTCCCTAAGCGTCTTCACCCCGTGCAGTTCTTCACCACTCACGAAGCGATTGCGAAGCTTTCGCAAGCGCTATTACGTCTATCGTTTCTTCCTCATTCTATCGCGTCGCATTCATTGTACAGCAATTGTAGCTTCCCGACAACGCGCACAAAGCCGACGCCCGACGCGCCAAAGAGCACCACCATAAGTGAGAGCCAAATCTACAAAGATGCCCAACTACAAGCCTGTAGAGCCCGAGACGGCGGACTGTTACTTCGACTTAGGTGTGGATCCATACGCCCCAGCAACAGACGTCAAGGCAGCATACTACAGATTAGCGCTGCAGCATCATCCCGACAAGAAAGCACCAGGTCAGACTGTAGATGCTATCGAGTTCAGACGCGTAAGATCACTCACCCGCGAAGCCCAGCGATGAGGAGACTAATGAGAAATAGGTGAACGAAGCGTTTGAGATACTCAGATACCCTAGTTCACGAGACGAATACGATGCGCTATACGAAGGCATACAGGAGGAATGGGAAGAGTACCGTTGCGCTTATGCCAAACACAAGCTACAGGAAGAGATCGAACGTCTAGATGCTGAGAAAGAAGAAGCGCGTGTACAAAGGGAGCAAAGGCGCCAGGAAGAGGAGAGACGACGCAAAGCAGAGGAAGAGGCTCGGGCTGAAGCTGAGCGAATCGCAAGAGAAAGGAAGGTGAGGCTCGCGGAAGAGCGATCGCGCCAAGCAGCAGAGCGTGCCGAGAAGGAGCGAGCTAGGGCAGCTGAGGAGTGGTTGCGGAAATGGGAAGAAGAAGAGGAGACTAGGCAAAAACAGCGTCGTGAACAGCGCCAAAAGGAAGCAGAAGCGCGTGAAGCGATAGTCAGAGAGCAGCATCGTCTAGAGCAAGAGCGAAAGGCGCAGGAGTATCTCGCCGCACTGGAGGCACAACAAAAGCTCACAGAGCAGAAGGTACGCCAGGCGGAAGAGCTGATGGTTCGAACATACATGGAGCCTCACTTCGCCAACACTGCCGATGCGGAAGTTCAGCGTGTCCAACGCCGCGTCCGCCTGGCCCACATGTGGGCGCGAAAGCTTCATGTAGACGCAAAGGCAGCTGATGATGCAGCGCCTGATGCCAAATTCGAGTTGGTGGATTTAGGCTGGCACCGGATCGATGGCACTGCCACCTGCGACTTTTGCGTCAAGGACGTACGCTTGTACTTCTTTGCTTGTCCCTTAGGGGGCGCGGCAGCGTGTGGAGATTGTGTATACAAGTTTGCACACGGGTATGAGACGGCGAACGGGGAGGTTATCGGAAAGCGCAACGGAGAGGAGAAGAAGGCCGGCAAAGTCGGTGGAAAGAAGGGAAAGAGTAAGGGCAAAGGCAAAGGGAAGAATTGACAGGATGTAAGACGCAGGTGGTTACCAAGGGTGTACAGCATGAGTATGCTAAACTTGTCAGTGAGAAGTAAGGATGCAAGATGCAAGATACAAACGGGGCTTCACAGTATGAGCATACCAAGACTATCTGTGGAAATCACGTCAGACAGAGGCCGCCAAGGTCATAATAATGTATGGAATGTTTGATACAAGTCTTACAGATGAATAACAACGACAAGTCCAAAAGACCCACCCAATTATGCCAATCCGTTGTCCCCAAATGCACCCCAAACATGCCGACCGTGATTATCGTAATGTAACAAGATAAGTAACCATCCCAACACCGGGGGTATCTTTTGAAGAATAAACACCAACACTTTTCCCGCGCCCAAAACACCTTTTTGTCCCACAGCTTGTCGACCCAAATGTCTGTGATGATGATGATGCAGCCTAAGACGGAAAGGAGACAG